CTCAGTTTCTTCATCTGTAAAATGAAGCTATCACTCATTTTTTTTGTAGGGCTGCTGGGACTAAGTGGGATGACACAGGGACAAGACCTACAGAGCGCCTAATACATAGCAGGAATTAAATACATAAGTGTTCCTTGTCTTCCCCATTTCTCACTTCCTATTTTACATAATCGTTTATGTACATTTTATTTCCTCTAAGAGTACATGCTTCTCGAAGGCACAATCAGGCTGGTTTCCCTCTTCTCCCTGTTACTTCTCACAGCTTCCCTCCTTCGTTATAGCAATTCCAAGTGCTAACATTTAATAGTGTTCAGAATCTGAGTAAGACAGGCCTCCTTGCTTTTCAGCCACCTCAGTTATTCTATTTTGGGTGCTCTCTAGTCTGTCAATCTCTTTCTTACTTTCCTTAAAGCTCAACATAAAACTGGTTTACTTATTTAACTGCATGAGTATACAACATTCTCATTGACAAACAGAATGATAATCAACAGACTACTACAATAAAAGTAAGACTTGGGAGACTCTCACAAGGTCTCTAAGGGGTTCCTCTTGATGTCTTATGCTCAGTAAAGCTCAATTCTGAATCATAGTAAGATGAGAATCTATCCTATTAAACTTTGAATCCTCAAAGAGATTACTGCTCTTAACTTTGGCAGATTATAAATAACTAGTTAATATAATGAATGTTAGTCTAATTTTAAAATCACCGTTAAAGCAAGGCCACAATACTACTAGAGTTTCGCCAAAAAAAAAATAAAATAATAAAGGTAATGGGTTTTTTTTTTTTCTTTTAGAAGGAATGAATTTGTACTAATGCATTTATGCCTGTTCATCTCTTGCAGGGCCAATGTACATTCACAAACCTGAAAGATGGCTGGGCCATGAGAACACAAATCAGACCACAGAACAGAAATAAGCTAATAAAAATGAAAATAATAATCTGGGTCTTATTACATATGTGTGTATCCTTTAATTAATAATGACTACCATTCCTGTTAGAGTATTCAGACTTAGTAAGGCGTATTCTTTCATCTTATTATTATCAAGAGGAAAAACGGTCAATCCTAGTTTCTATAAATCAGAAGTAAAAATATTCTTCCCCAAATGGTTTTTTGATAATTACTACCTCTGCATCTTCTGTAAATATTTATAATAAACTTATATTGATTTATAAATAAATCAAGAAATTCATAACTCTAGAAATTATTACCTGTTTGCCTTTACTAACTTCATTTTCACAAGTGGAATGTTCTTCAAGTATCATTCTGCAGTGTGTTATTAAACTTGTTGTCTGAGAGGTCGACAAGGGATCCCAAATGAATTCTATGAAGCCTGAAACAAAAATTTCAGTGGTGCACGATTTATTTACTAGATTGCTTTTCTTATCACCTATAAACAGAGGCCTTCAGCAAAGACTACTTCCCTCCTTACGCAGTTCAAAACCCACGCCAATCATTACCACTACGTATTTGCATACACTCTCAACTTCCTTGTCCTTTTTGGGCTTGTTGAACTTGTCTGGCTAAACCACAACCCTAGTTAAATCCACCTTGTCACCAAGTCTCTGCCTGCAACCATGCAGCTAAAACGTGGTTGGAAAAAATACACTTTAAATTCATCGCCATGTTAACTCCGGTGAGCGCTTAACGCTGCCCAGCAATCATATTCTGTTTCCCTGGCCCACCGCCTCTCCCTCTCACCTAGACAATTACTTGCTCTCTTCTCTTTCCTCTTCCCTCTCAGTTAACGGACTTGACTCTTCTAGATGACTATTTCTTACCTTTTCTTTTCTCCTCCCTTGCTCTCACTCTCAGCTGATGATTCTCATCAAATTAGGAAGTAATCAGAAGAGAAGCTCCATGAGCTCCTACCACAGCATCTGCACACGCACCTGCCTCTGTGTCACAGAATTAACTTGTCTCCCATTCCTATGGATGAAAAACCTATGCTCCGCACTAGGGCCAACCCTTTATTTGTGCAAAAGATCCCAGCCCCTTTGGCTTACTTGAAGATCCTGCTCCCGGAATCCTGCCCTCTTACTTCAGTATCATCACTTTTACTGGATTTTTCCCATCAGCCTACAAACAATTATTTCTCTTGTATTAAAAATAATCCCTCTCTGGACCCTACTTTCCCCTCCAGTAATGCCCTATTTCTTTCCTTCATTTTACAACAAAATTCTTCAAAAAACCGTCTAAGCTTTTAATCTCCAATTTCTCTCCTCCCATTAACTCTTCAATTTTTTTTTTTAATTTTATTTATTTATTTTTTCCCCCCAAAGCCCCAGCAGATAGTTGTATGTCATAGCTGCACATCCTTGTAGTTGCTGTACGTAGGTCGCGGCCTCAGCATGGCCGGACAAGCGGTGCGTCGGTGCGTGCCCGGGATCGAACCCCGGGCCACCAACAGCAGAGCGCGTGCACTTAACCGCTAAGCCACGGGGCCGGCCCTCCCATTAACTCTTGAATTCACTTCAATTAGGTCTTATCTCCAACCATTCTACCTAAACTACTCTTACCAAGTCACAGATGAGCTTTGCACTGCAAAATCTAATGCAACAGTTGATGAGTCCCCCAGAAACACATGCTTTACTTGTCTGCTAGGACACCACTCCTGGTTTCCCAGGTACCTCTCTCCAGTCTCCTCTGCTGGCTGCTCGTCATCTCTTTGACTTCTAAATGTGAAGTACCTCAGGACTCAGGTCACTTACCTTCTCTTTCCTATCTATATTTACGCCCTTAGTACTTAAAGGCAGTTTTGTGGCTCAACATGTGTCAAACTGAGCTCCTGATAGACCTCCCTACCCTAAACTTGCTCCTCCCAGTCTTTCCCACTCCACCATATGGCAGCTCTGTCCTTCCAGTTGATTAGGCCAAAAACCAGAGAGTCATTCTTGATTCCTCTCTTTCTCCACAACCAATCCATTAGCAAATTGTTAGTGGTACCTTTGAAATATGTGCAGAATTCAGCCACTTTTCAGCACCTCCACTTTTAACACCCTAGCTCAAGCCACTATCATCTGTTGCTTGGATTACTGCAAAAGCTTCCTAACTGGTCTGCCTACGGTTCATGCTCAACACAGTCACCAGAGTGATTCTGTTAAAATGTTAAGCAGATCATGTCACTTTTCTGCTCAAAACTCTCCAATTGCTTCTCACTCTTTCACTTATAGGAAAAGATAAAGTCCTTACAAATAATTATAAGGCACCTATGATGCAGCCCCTGTCATCTTTCTAATCTCTTCTTTCTCTCCCCCATGTTCATTCCACTATAGCTACACTGGCCTATGTGCTGTTTTTCAAGCAAATCAGGCTGGTTTATGCCTCAGGGCCTTTGCACTTGCTGTTTCAGCTGCCTTGGATGCTGTTTCCCCAGATATTCATGTGGTCCACTTCTTTACTTCCTTTCAGAATCTGCTCAATTGTGACCTTCTCAGGAAGGCCTTCCCTGGCCAACCTATTTTAAATTGCACTCCTCTTTGATAATTTGTGTCCCTTTCCCTTTATTTTTTTCCTTTGCCCTTATAACTAACATGCTCTAAATTTCACTTATCTTATTTACCATCTGTCTTCTTCACAGAATGTAAGCTCCATGAGGGCAGGGATTATTATCTTGTTCATTGCTATATACTACCAAAGCAACAATAGTGCCTGACACAGGGTAAACCCTTCTAAAATACAAGTTAAATAATATAAAAAATTGAGTAGGTTAAAAAAAAAAAAAACCCTTAAGCCAAAAACAAAACAGCAATTTCTCAAGCATCTAGAAGGTTAGGCTTCTAATAACCCTAGAAATATTCAGTCAACCTTTACTGGCAGCCTATTATGTGCCTGTCATTAAATAGAGGAGACAGAGCAATGAATAAGGCTCGGTGCCTGCCTTTGAACAACTTTAATGGCAAATACAAACGCTTACATAAGCAATTACAATTCAATGTGTAGGGGCCACCATAGGTGAGTTCAGAGTACTACAGGAACCCAGAGAGGTATGCTTAAACCAGTTCCTAGAAGTGATGTCTATACTGAGTCCTGAAAGATGAAGAGGAGTGAGTTAGCCTGATGGAAGAGGTCGCGCTGGGAGGCTTGCCAAACAGATGGAGCATGCAAGATGTAAGGACCTAGGAAGGTAAAGCTGAAGTCCAGTAGTGATGGGGGTGAGGGGAAGAAGGAGCAGAGCTTGGCACGAGATGGGGCTGGAGCATTAGTACACAGAGACATGATTCTGAAAGGCCTACAAAGCCATGTTAGAGTTTAGACTTCATCCTGAAGGCAGTTAAGAATAATTAAAGTTGTTTTAAGTGAGGTATGACAGAATTAGACTCACATTTTAGACAGATCACCATGGCTGTAGTATAGAAAATGGGTTAGAAAAAGGAAAAAAATAACAGACTTGTCAATTCCTCATAGAAGGAGGTAAGGAGGGAGGAGGAGTGGATGGCTTGAAGGTTCTCGTTTGAATACGCGGCAGATGGAGGTGCCATTTTCTAGATACAGAATGTAAGAGGAGCAGGTCTGCAGCAAAGATGACAAGTACACCTCTGCACGTGGAGTCTGAGCTGCCTGTCAGACGTCCAGGTGGATGTACTCAGAAGGTACTTCGATAGAAAGATCCGGTGCTTTAAGAAGAGATCTGGTCTTGTTCTTCCAGTTCTTTTGGATTTAAAATTATGTAGAGCAGCACTATCCAAAAGAACTTTCTGCGATGATAGAAAAAACATCTTATATCTCCACTATCTAGTATGATAGCCATGAGCTACATATGGCTATTGAGCATTTAAAATGTGGCTAGTGTGAATGAGGAACTGAATTTTAATTTTATTTAGTTGAAATTTATATTTTAATAGCCACATATAGTTAGTGGTTACCGTACTGAACAACACAGATGTAGATGGCACTAAGGGAGAGCATGAAATTACCCAGGGAGTTCATGAGAGTATGAAGAGGGTCCAGGATAGGACCTGAGAATAAATATACAGTACTAATTTCTCATAATACTACTAATTTGAGGGACTGTTTAATTGTAAGTTAAGTATTTGGAGTTTTCAGAAGACTACTTAAATAAGGCCACATATTCTATGCTATCATTAATAGAGCTACATAAAAGTAGTAACTTTCTAATATACCCCACAATTGCACTGCAAGTTACATTGAGAAAATCATTCAAGTGTAGTCAAGTTGGCTGAGAAGCAATATAAAGCTGGTTGCTTCTTCTTTTAAAAGAGTTCTGCAGACTTTGCTGTCAGAAGCCATTCTCAGTGACACGGTGAAACAGATCCTTATCAAGTACAATTTCAGGTAAACCAAGAGTCTTTAGACTGAAGCACAAACATCACTAAGTGCTCTGACCGCCAGTGGCAGATGTGAGGGAAATGTAGTAATAGTTTTTAAAGAAAGAATAAATAAAAACAAACATAAGGGGAGAAGTTATGGGAAAGAAAGACATACGTGGTAGGGATGGAAGTGTGCCACTAATAAATGACTTAGGCATTATAAAAGCAAGGCTAGTGTTACTAATGCTAACAGCTGGAGTATCAGCAGTTTGGTTGCCAATCACTTGCACAAACAAGCACTTTTTAACCAGCTTAAATTATGCTATCTGTTGCTTTTTACCGCATATCGAATTTCCTTGTGTTCAAGAACTTCTGAAAAAAAAAACTGTGACTGTAACAGAAATTAATGATCTTATACTCTGCCAAAGAACAATTTAATTTTATCGCGATTACAAAGCAGTACCTGTAAGTCGAGGAATAACTGTTTTGTTGATGACAGCAGACAATATTTTCTTATCAGAACTATCTTCCCTCTTTGAATCTTCCGTACTGTTATCCATAAATTCTTCTATAGATGTGAACCATGGCATCTGTTTTAAACCTATGGAATCAAACTTATAAATAAAATTATCAAAGTTATAAATAAATTCTTAAACATTATTTTAAAATAGTTAACTTTATCAGTAATCATCAGAGCTTTTCTAAGGATCAAAGAATAATTATTCCATATTTTAACCTCATGTATACAGCACTAGACCACCAAGGCTAGGCAAGAAGACATGACTAAGACATGACGTCTAAGCAATAAGACAAGAAACTGCATTTTATGCATTCATCTCTAAGACAAATCCTTCAAAAATGCCTACTGTGTATTCAGAGCCAACCACATGCAAGTATTGTTTGGAGCAAAATACACATTTTTAAGAATGTACTTAAAATAGCCATGGAATTTGTTTACAGAAATTCATTTACCTCAAAATTCACTTCTGGCTCCAATTCTTATAGGCACGAATGTGTGTTTTGCATGTGCTTTGGCTTACTAGGCAAAGAGCACATGGCCAATTATTATTTGCTCAAAGAATGAACAGATCTCTGCTAGGTGTAACAGAGTACTCTTCAGCTTGAGTGGCTAACAACTAGGCTGCTGTCTGACAACTTCCTACCACTTGCTTAGGGATAAGCTTGGTTCCTGTACTGTGAAGACTGGCCCTGAACCTAACATAGAGCCAACAGGCATGCCTGACTAGGGCAGAGAAAGATAAAAGGACATGGCTCCAGCCTTCACTTTGCTAAATCTTTATCTTCAGCTCTTCTCTCTTTCTAGAACTTAACTTTCTCACTTGTTTGCTTACTAGGCATATCCACATGGATGTCCCACTATTATTTCATTATGTATAAAGTGAAACTTCCCTTAAAATCTTTTCTCTCTCTGAAAAATCTCTATTTCTATTAACGGAACTACCGTTTTAACGGAACTACCGTTGTTCTAATAACCCAGAATCCAAACCTTGGGGTCTTCTTTGGATGTGGTGTTTAGGTGGTTATTCTCACCATTTTACTGATTCTTACTTCACAACACCTCTTGTAATCAACCCTTTCTTTCTCTTCCCTTTGGCACTATTACCCTATGTGAGGAATTCACCACCTTGACTTGAGCTACAGCAATAGGCTTCCAATAACATATCTCCACCTCTTATATCCCTTCCCTCCAAGTTAGCTTGCTGCTAGGGCTTCCTAAAGCAGTACTTTCACTGTGTCACTTTTGCCATTATTTACCAAACCAAGTTCTTATCTCTTAATTTAGGATCTGAACATCTGTGCAGTCTCTAGCTCCTGAACTAATATTTCTCCCTAAGCACCTTTACAAAGTACCTTTCCCTTTCTTCTCCTCCTGTTTAAATCCTATATACCCTTCAAATCCTCATTTAAATTCCTTCTCCTCAATGCAGCTTTTCTAACCAACTCTTCCCAATATGTTGTCTCCAACTCCAGAACTCTTGGTACCTATGGCCAATTTCCCCAAACAGAAATTCTTAAGATCTAATACTACCTTTACTTTTTTGAGTGATCTTAAACTTAGTCATAGAAGAAGCCAAAAAAGAAAATGTTTTCTTTACTGATGTCTAGTGCCACTCAGCCTTAAAAATAAAGTGAGAACCAAGAAAAGACAAATGTAGACAATTACTCCACAGCACTAATTATCAACTCCAACTCTAAAGGTGAGGTATTTTATAGCTAACCTGATAACAAGGGAATTTAAGTCACTAATGTGATCGGGATTAATTTTTTTTGACATGTTAAGCTTAAATACCTTAAGAGGATTCCAATCAATCAACTGAACTCTTATTAGGGGGTTTAAAAGTTTCGGTATGCATAAACTAATGAAAGCTTCATAATAAGAATCAGGAAACTTTTCTCGCCATTGTTGAAATTTCAACAAAATATTCTGGATATTACAAAAATCATCATGCACATCTTCAAAAATCTTCTTATGATGCTGTAAAATGTCATCTGTGGACAAAATGAGCCTCTGTAAATTATGCATTTTAAGTATGTGAACTTTAAGTTTGCTTCCTAGAAACACAATCATGTATGACTATGTAATCAGTTGAACAGAACTTTCCTTTGATATTATCATATAGTTTTTATTAAAAAGTCACTTTAGTAATAACAGTAATATTGACACTAATAAAATCTACCATCTGCTATATTCCAAAATACTATAAATACATTATCTCACTTCATCATCATAACTATCTTCCTTACAAGGTAGGTGTTACTAGTCTACCTATTTACAGACAAAAACAAGCAAACAAATGACATCAGATGTAGGGAGATCAAGGAATTTGCCTAAGACCACACAGAACAGAACCCTTCTTTGAATCCATCTATTTGACTGTCAAGCCCACACTCTCTATACATATCTACCCTCCCATAATACTAATAACGTCTTTACTAAATTCATTTGTTTTAAACGAAAAATGATAATATAAAAAGTATATAGTAGAAACATGAAGCCAAAAATGTTCATGGTTCCTTTATAACAGGAGACGAGAAAGGCTGAGGGAAAAAACTACAAAGATGCAGGAATACTCGCAATGCTCCTCCAGTTTATTCCCTTTTTCCAGAGGCAGGCAAAGTCTTAAAGGGGAAAGAAATGTGTTCCTTCTTTCCTGACTATAACTATTTTATATAGCTTATGTATTTAAGGGCAATCACAGCAAAGCTTTTTGCACCATTTCAATACTTTGAATCCAGACACATGAAAAACTTGGTAACTGACCTTGGTTTTTTTGGAAGTCAATCACGTCTGAAGACAGTTCATCATCACTAGATGTTCCTTCCTGATGACTACAATTCCCAGAAAGCACCCTTGCTTGTCTTCTTTGTGCCCTATACTTTGCAATAAACCAAAAATAAATTAAAAACAAACAGTTCCTGTTGAAAATACATGTTTTAAAACAAAAAGTAGAAATCACCATTTATTTAAAATGCCCAGAAATACGCCACCATATTAGCACACAATTTTATGTTAATATTTTTGACATTTTAGCTTCATTAATCTGAATTGGGGGTTCTCCTTTTTTCTTATAAGACATTGCCGTTTAGAACATACCCATAGGCTACCCAGATTTTAGAGAAGTAGGTAACAATATAATTAGGACTGACTTCTAGTTATGAGCAATTTCCAGCCTGATAAATGTCATTTACCCATTCCTTTGGACTGATCCAAATACACCTCTGTGTCCTTAAACCCTGGGGTCAAGGACTACTTAAATTAAATTTTGTGTTTCCATCATTCTAACAAATTAATATTAGGTTATGGTTAATTATATCACATAATTAATTACATTTAAATAGTGAAAAATACTTGCTCAATGATGCTTTAAGTCTTCACTTTATATAGCTACCTTCGAGATTCAATCTCTTCTAAAATCCATTGAGTTTTTTCATCTATAGCCAAGCTTCCATTTGTTGACGTCTCAGCTTTGCCTGCTGAATAAAATTGATTTCATATTGCAAATTCTCAAAAGCAATAAAGTGAAACATTTTGAAAACAAAAGTTATATCTTGGGTGTATATACATATATGTAAATATAAGCACATATGATATGCTTACCTTACATATTTCATCATGCAATGAAATTGCAATGTTAATTCTCTATTACAATATTAACAGGCATTGAATTTGCTAGCCTAAGAAAATGTACCTTGGCTGGTGAATAGTTTTTTTTTTTTTGAGAATTTTGAGAACAAAATTCTGTAAAGTTTCTTTCCCTTGTATTCTTTTTCAGCAGTTTTCATCAGTTTTTTCTGTCCCTGCAGCTAAATGCTAGAAATATTTGCATTGCCAATATGCTATTTATATTACTTCCTATTTTAGTATGTACCGTAATTTATGACCAACTAAATGTCATGTGTTTGAAAGTCACTTTGCTTTTGGTATTATCGGCTGGTTGGTTATGGTCTCATCTCTTTCACTATCATCTGACTGCACTTCAATCAAATGAAGACATATCTGAAAATACAAAACCAGTGTGAGAACTAAAAGGCAGCAGCCAAATCTTATATAACCAGATCTTACAGACGATTCCATACTGAAACACACAAGAATTTCTTTAACCTCCATAACCAACCTGTGGAAGGGCCATGGAAACTTTGTAAAGTCAGATCTCTGATACAGCCTATAGATTTACGTCAATTCATCTCAAAACAGTCATTAAATGGCCATATAAATATTTTGTCTCAAATACTAAATGATTAGAAATTGTAATTTTTATTTTTCAGTCTTAGATTTAAGACATTTTAAAGCCCGAGTTCTAAATGTTTTGGGGTTTTTGGAAGGGGGGGAGAAAGGTTAGTGGGAAAACACACAAAAAGCATTTTTTATACAGGAATAAAAATATTTTTACTCTCCAACTGATACTTTAGCTTAACGAATAATAAATCATATTGAACAGGAAAAACACTAACGTGACAGCTGTTGTAAATACGTTGATTCATGTTTTAATTCATCTTGCCTGCGTTTCATAAAGGTCATGGCTTGTTTTAAAAGGAGTGCATGCATGGATGATTCTATTTCTTGGATGCTGATAATCTGAAATACATATATAAGTAAGATTTTGTGGGTCAACAGTGAATTATAAAAAGTAGTATTTATATATAAGCATATGTATATGCTCAATTCTCATATAAAGTATAATTTTCAATACTATCACATCTCAATTAAAAATATATTGTGAGGAAAAGACCTAGCTGCCAATACTTTTAATATTAATAAAACCAGAAAATCAATTTACTGTGCTAGAAGAGCTATACATATCATAAATAATGAAACCAAATGGGCTGGAGTTAGGAACATGGATAACAGTGAACAGAAGATTCTTCTTTGTTTAAGACAGAAGGGCAGGAGGAAGAGACAGGTGCAGCTATTTTTCACAGGCTGAGGGGGCAGACTGTAGGGGACACTTGAGAAAACTGATAAAATTTGAAAAAGTGGAGAATAGAGGAGACCTAACCAGACAGGTAAGAAAGTTGTGAAGCAGGAATGAGTGATTAGTTGAAACTGGCATTCTCACATTTCTTGGGGAACAATTCCCCCCCTACTCCAAAGATGTTTCATAGCTGCTGCTATGGATACGTCACTGTGTAGGCTGACAAGACTCAGTGTAATTCTTTAAGGATAATGATGAAAGAAAATTACATTGTAATAAATACTTCAGAAAGTCACTGAAAAGGCAGTCAACTTAAAACAATGGGGAGAAAGCATTAAATTGTTTGGTAACATTTTAAATGTAAATAAACAGCAAGGCGGAAAGTAGACTATATTTTTAAAATGGTTAGTTTACTTTAAAAAAAAGGACAACTCAAGACCCCAATGTAAGGACTTAGTAAGGTATAAAACAAAAACAGAAACTATAAAGGGAAAGAATGATTCATAAATCTGATTAACACAAAAATTTCAAAACATCTGGATGTCAAAGAAGCATCACAAACAAAATTAGAAGACAAAAACTGGAAAGTTTATCTACATCAAGCAGAATAAAGCAGTAAAAATTTTAAGCAATAAAGAATTGTTCATCATATAAGGGAAAAAAATAAAAAAGTAAAAAAAAAAAAAAAAATCTCCACTATGAACCAAAAAGATAAAAGGGCAAAAGAGACAAATAATTCACAAGAAAAACTACCTGTAGTTAATAAAACAAAGGGTTTGTTTGAAATCAAAATAAATATATAAAAACAAAAACCATTTTTATAATGTAGTAAACTAAAAAATAAAACTGATACAATCTTTCTGCAGGATAATTTAGCAATTGTTAAGCCTTAAAAACATTTAGACCCCTTTGACTTAATAATTCACTTTCTAGGAATTTTTCCTAAATGGATGGAATTTTAACACAAAAACTTATATATAAAATTTTATAATGTTATAATAGCGAAATAATTGCAAAAAAACCCTAACTGTCCGACTTGAAAGGAATGCTTAATATCACGGTATGTAAAAAATGTGCAGGAAAACACTAGAGGAAAATATTTAGTTGTGAGATTTAGACTTTTTTAATCGCATGTTAAGGGGATCTCTATAAAAAGGAAATGATATAAATATTTACAGCCATGTACCTTCTCATTAAGACAGTCAATTAGATTTTCCACATAAATTTTCATACTTTTATAGAACTTAAAATTTAGAGCCTGATTTGATGAATTCTCCAGGTTCTGGATGGTACTTTTTGAGCTCTTGACATCTTGCATATATTTTTCATATTCCCTCAGGTGTGAGCGGTGAGTATCCTGTAGCAATGTTAATCTAAAAAAAAAAAAAAACAAATAAAAATTGCTTTATTTTTCAAACTTTTATTTCTACTATAGCACTAAGTAGCAGTCTAATGAAAAATTTTTCAAGGTTACCTTACAGAGACCACCAAGCAAACTGACAATCATATAAACCTGGGTTTACGAGACTTGCTGAGCAAAGAAGAGCATCACAGTGAAAGAGGTCTCAAAGGGGAAGGTAGAAAAGGACACTCCAAGGTTTTCGGGTGCTTGGGCTGCTATCTCGTAAATTGTTTTCTATCTTATAGCTATTTTGTCTTCCTTTTCCTCTCTTGCCTTACTTTGTGTTTTCTTGATTTTTTGCTCTGAGTCTTTTCTTGTCTTCTTTTGTGCATCTTCTATAGGTATTTTCTTCGTGTTCACCATGGGGTAAACTTCAATCACATATAAAAACTCTATTCCTTTACATCTCCCCCTCCACTTCTTGTTATTGATGTTCCAAATTACATTTTCTAATTTTGTATCCATTAACATAGTGTTATAGTTATTTTTTGTGCTTTTATCTTTTAAATTCTATAGCAGAATTGTGATTTTTACACTTACAGTACTACAGGATTCTGTATTTGTCTACATATTTACCTTTATCAGAGAGCTTTATATTTTCATATGCTTCGTGTTAGCGTCTAGTGTCCTTTCATTTCAACTGGAAGGACTTTCAGCAATTTTTATAAAACAGGTCCAGTGGTGATGAACTCCTTCAGCTTTTGTTCATCTGAGGTCTTTATTTCTCCTTCCTCTTTGAAGAACAGTTTTGCTGGGATATAGTATTCTCGGTTGGCAGTTTCTTTCAGCACTTTGAATATATCACCCTACTCCCTGCTGGTCTGTAATGTTTCTGTTGAGAAATCTGCTGATGATCTTATGGGCCTCCTTTGTACAGGATGAGGTGCTTTTGAATGCTGCTTTCAAAATTTTCTCTTTGCCTTTTGAAAGTTTGATTATAAGGTGCCTCAAGGTGAGACTTTTTGGGTTCACCCTCATTGAAGTCTTGTGAGCTTCTGGAAGTTAGACATCCATTTCCCTCTTCAGATAGCTAAGTGTTGGGCCATTACATTTTAAAATAAGCTCTCTGCCCCATTCTGTTTCTCTTCTCCTCCTTGGCCTCCCATAAAGTATATGTTGTTCTTCTTGATGGTGTCCCATAAATCCCTTAGGTTTTCTTCACTTTTTTTTTTGTTCCTCTGACTTGATAATTTCAAATGACCAGTATTTGAGGTCATTGCTTCTTTCTTCTGCTTGATCAAGTCTGATGTTGATCCTCTCTAGTGAATTTTTCAGTTATTATATTCTTCAGCTCTAAAATCTCTGGTTCTTTTTTATAGTTTCTCTTTATTGATATTCTCACTTTGTTCGTGTATTATTTCCCTGATTTTGTTGTCTGTGTTCTCTTGTAGGACACCAAGGTTTTTTAAGGGCATTATTTTGAATTCTTTGTCTGGTAATTCATAGATCTGTTTCTTTAGGGTTAGGTCTGGAGATTTACTTTGTTCCTTTGACTGGACCATGTTTCCCTGTTTCTTCATGTGTCTTATTTTTTTTGTTGTGTTTTGTGCATCTGAAAATGCACTTAAGGGAAATAGCTTCATACAGGGGAGGAACTTCACCAATCAGCCTGGCTAGAGATTTTGGGGGTGGAGGGGACAGAGAAAAGGGTGTCTTCTCACACTTTTTATGGAAATGTATCTTCTCTGAGCTTCTACACGAAATTTCCCAATTAGGAAGGTTTGTGGGTTTCTTTCTCAGGATTCTATAGTCTCTTGCTCCCCCTGGTGGCTATCTGCAGTACTGCAGGCTTCCTGGCTCTACAACACGCCATTGAGCTCTCTCCTGTTTTCTGCCACTCCCAGGTATCCAAGATATGACAGTTCCCCATCAGTGCTGAGACAGACAAAACAGAAACCAGTCCCTCAGGCAGTCCCGCCAAAAGCCAGAATGTTAGATGTTCTTCTTTTTCCCTCCCAACGGAGAAGCTGTGAGTTGGGCTTTTCCTCTCCACTTCTTTCTCAAGCACTGCTAGCTTGCAGGAGGGGCTGATGCAGTTGAAATAAAATGGCTTTTCTTACCCACTAAAATGTGGCTATTCTTGGCTTTGAGCTTGCCTGGGACTGTGGATAAAGGCTTTTTGGACCGTATATTGTTGTTAAGTTGGTATCTCTGTGGCAGAACAAGATATGGGGCTTCCTATTCTGGCATCTTGCTGCTATTACTCCCAACATATTATTTTTAAAAATTAAAGGCTATTTAACAATGCAGATAAATGCTTATGAAAATACTAAGTAAAAAAAGCAATTATTGATTTTAACCATGTATCTATTATAAACACTAAAAGATACAAAAATGGAAATCAGTTGTTAGTGTGGTACCACAGGTGATGATATTTTTCCCTACAAATCTGTTTAATATTAATATTTATATTTAATAATTAAAAAGAATATAGTGCCAAAATTTTTCACTATTAAATGTCTATGACAAATGCAAATTTTAAAATGAATATTACTTACCTAGTATTTAATTGCTTCTTTATAATTTCTAAATTTACTGGTGGAAATGAAATGGAAGTATCAAACTTCTTCACTGTTTGAGAGTCACTGCTGTGGGAAAGATCTATGTCTCGTCCCTAAAAATAATATGAAAATCTATGCTGTTTTAAACATTCATCTATCTTACAAATATTAATAGCATGAAAGCAAATGGGATACTCTAAGGTCTTACCAGCTCAAAATTCCATGTCTTTGACATTTTTCATAGTTACAATAAAATGTTTTTAAAATTCGTACACAGTTTTAAAATTTAGAACTTTAAATTCACATGCAAGAGGCAAATTATTCAGAAAACTAAATACCTGTTTTCCATGACAAAAGTAGCCACATAACTCCAGTCTAGGCAAAGAAAAGTAAATGGAAGTCTGCTGGAGGGTTTCTAGGTAAAGCTTTTGGTTTTGTTTAAGCTACTATTATTTGGGTTTTCTGCTACTTGCAGAGGAATGCATTCCTAACTAATACATCTTGTAACATGGTACATTTCACATAAAGTCCTCTGGCTCATCACACCATGCTTAGAAAGTTGAAAAGGTTCTGAAGAACCTGTGTTATATATGAAGGATAGATGAAGAAGCGGACCAGACAATTAGCCAACTCATTGGCTTAACTATCATTTTTATATTTTCCATGAGGCCTCATCATTTCTCATACCAATTCTTTTTTTTTTTTTTTTTTTATTGCAGTAACATTGGTTTATAACATTGCAAAAATTTCAGGTGTACATCATTGTACTTCTATTTCTGCATGGACTACATCATGTTCACCACCAAAATACTAATTACAACCCATCACCACACACATGTACCGAATTATCCCTTTCACCCTCCACCCTCCCCCCTTCCCCTCTGGTAACCACCAATCCAATCTCTGTCCCTATGTGTTTGTTTATTGTTGTTATTATCTACTACTTAATGAAGGAAATCATACAGTATTTGACCTTCTCCCTCTGACTTATTTCACTTTGCATTATACCCTCAATGTCCATCCATGTTGTCACAAATGGCTGGATTTCGTCGTTTCTTATGGCTGAGTAGTATTCCATTGTGTATATATACCACATCTTACCAAGCCTCCCATCCAGCTCCAAACATACCTGCAAATCTCCAAACTAATCAAACTATTTCAAATCTTAAGTCTTTACTCTTGATATCTTTTGTCTCAAATCCCTTACATCAAAAACATTGTCTAAAGACCCATTCAAATATGACCAGTTCTGTAGAGGCTTTTCCAAACTTCCCCGCCATTCACCTCTCCTCCTATAAAACAGATCACTCGCTTGCTCCTTTGTGCCATCTCAGGACCCTGTACAGAGTTCTGTCATAGAACTTGTAAGATTTCACTATAATTATTTTGTGTAGCTGTCGCTCCCCTGCAAAGATGATACATTCTAGTGCCTAACACTGTTAAATGTCTGTAGAGGCTGAATGGTGACCTCAAAAAGATACGTGTGTCCTAATCTCTCAGACTTGTGAATATTACCTTATATGACAAAAGATGTGATTAAGTTAAGGATCCATAGAGGAGGAGTTTATCCTGGATTATCCTGGATTACCCAGATGGGCCTTAAATGCAATTATACATATCCTCATGAGAGAGAGGGAGTCTGGGGATGCAAGAAAATAAGGTGATATGAAGATGGAGCAGAGAGCAATGTTGCACAAGCCAAGGAATGTCGACAGCCACCAGCAGCTAGAGTAGCCAAGGAAGAGATTACCCTCTAGAGCTTTTGGAAGACGTGTAAGAAAATAAATTTCTGTTGTTTTAAGCCCCCTAGTTAGTGGTAATTTGTTACAGCAGTCACAGAAAACTAATATAGTAGCATGTGGTAGATCTTCAGTAAAGGAATTAGTAAATACACCCAAATTAGTAATAAAAAATACAAAGCAAATAGGACCGCGATTCCATTTTTGCCAACTAAACTTGCAGCTAAAGCTGGCAAGACTGTGGTGAAGCATTCCCATAATTTTGGTGGCATTACAGATTGATCTAAATTTTCTTTAGAAAGCAACTGAGAAAAATGTAGTCAGTGCCATAAAAATGTTTATCTCCTTTATTAGTAATACCACTCTTGGCCATTATCCTAAGGGAATAGTTAAAAAATGCACACCTGAACAAAAGAAAGAAAAGGAGGGCAGGAAAAGATAAGCAAATATTTATCAATTCTTACTAACAGAATAAAAAATTCAGATTGCAAATAACCTAAAGTGTTTACCAAAAGGAAGAACGGCTAAGAAAATTATGATTCATTGACTCCAATAAATATTATGCAGCTTTTAAAATTAGTTACCATTACAACTACGTAGAAATGGGAAAATATTTATAAGGTGTCAAGCAAAGAAATCAGAATTCAAAACTATATGCATATTGTGGTGCCCAAACTGTGTGCCAATGAACTCGGAGGGGTGCTGTGAGATTTAAATTTTTTACGGAAACACAGTAATACTCTACATTTGTTGGACTACCAATTCTAATTAGTTCACAGTTGCAACATTAGACTGTGCTACATTCCTTTTGATGAAGTTTTATCAGTGAAGCTGGGTTTTTGGCAGATGATATGACGAAAAGCAAGTAATGATGGGAAAGCAGTGTGGAACAGGAGATGAGCATGGCAGTGTCCACCTGATTCCAAGGTTTGAGAAGTCATGCAGCACCCAACAGGTGCACACATTCCATTAGTAAGTAAGTGTGGTCATTTAAAAATTAAATGAAAAGATTTTTTTCTTCAATTTATCTTTTTCTTTTTTCCCAAATGGCTACTAAGTTATTAGGACATAAATCTTATTAAATTCTTTGGACCTAACTACTTAATAAATGGAATTGTTTGGTGCTTCCTTTGGCCAAGGGGCACCACGATAAAATTACTGAGACGCTAAAGACTCCACAAGTAAGAAAGCTTGGGAACTTCTGATTTATATTATGACTGCAATTAAACAAACACTTCAAATAAAAAGGAATTATGCAAACTTGAGCAGTTAGAATATGGACTGTGGCATGTTTTTTCTCAAAGTATTTTTTTTAAATACTATTGCTACACTGATTTTACTAAAAAGGAGAAAAAAAAATCTAAGCTTGTTATAGTCAAAAAAATAGTCCTCTAAATCATTTCTCTGGTCAGAGACTTCTAATTACAAAGGCTTACCCTTACTTAGCTTTTTAGTTTTAAAAACATGAAGATTTTATAATACTTTCTTACTTAAAAGAGCAAATAATCTTTCACAGCATTCTGGAAGCCTTATATTTGTATGCTATTATAAAATTTACAAGCATTTTGATTTGGATCATTATAATTTTGAGCCTTACAGCCACCTACTCAGGTAGGTAACATTATCATTCTCATTTTATTGATGAGAAAACTGAGATTTAGGGCAATTAAATGATTTTCTCAAAGTTGTACAAATATTATGGAACACTCACAACATTAGGCACTGTGGGATATAACACTGAACAAAACAGTTAATAATAATTGACCTCATGGAGCATATATTTTATTGGTAGAGCCAGAACCCAAATCCAGGACTTTGACCCCAAGTACAACATTTTTTTTTGTTTTTTTAGTTTTGTTTTAAACCTATTTATTTGTTTAAACTTCACATTTAGGTACCTACCATATAATATACACTGTTACTGTAAGATTAAGATAAAAAAGATATGGTCCCCTCAAGTGGCTTATAATATGTGGAAGGTGTTTATAATCTAGTGGGAAAAGAACATAATATACATGGTGTAGTGGGTTGAATGGTGGCCTCCCAAAAGACATATGTGTCCTAACCCATGGAACCTATGAATATGACCTTATTTGGTAAAAGGGTCTTTGTAGCTGTAATTAAGTGAAGTATCTCAAGATGAGATCATCCTGGATTATCCAAGTGGGCTCTGAATCCAATGACAAGTATTCTTATAAGAGACACACAGAGGAGAGGCACGGAGAAGAAGCCCTTGTGAAGAAGGAGGTAGAGATAGGAGTTACACAGTCACAAAGCAAGCAACACCTGAAGTGACCAGAACTTGGAAAAGGCAAGCAAGGATTCTTCCCCAGGGCCTTCAAAGGGAGCAGAGCCCTGCCAAGCACCTTGATTTCGCACTTCTAGCCTCCAAAACTCTAAGAGAATAAATGTCTGTTGTTTTAAGCCATCAAGTTCATGGCAATTTGCTACAGCAGCCACAGGAAACTAATACAACATGGTATAAAGAATTATTACCTCTGTAATTTTAACTGCTTTCCTCATTTGCTGCTGTTCCCAAATATCTTGATTTTCATCTTCCTGACTTTCTTCACTTGTTTGTTCATTTCTGGTTGCTAAGATTAAAAAAGTCACGTATAAATATTCAGTATTTTTTCATTCTAATAGCAGCAGCTAACATTTTTAGGGGGCTTATAATGCACTGGCTTAGCAGCCCTTTACATGTGTTAATTTATTCTTAACAATAACTCTGGGAAGAAGGTATATTATCACTCTCATCTTATAAATGAGAAAACTCAGATATCAGGAGGTTAAATAACTTGCCTGAGGAACGTATTGAAGCTGGGACTTGAATCTAGCAATCTGACTCCAGAATCTGCACTCATCACCCAACTGTCCCACTCAAAACACTAGTCTCACATATGGAAAAAACTTGGAAAACATGAACGTGGTTTTCCTTACCAGAGATTCTCAATTCTATCTGAAATCTATTTATTTATTTATTTTATTTTATTTATTGATTGATTGATTGATGAGGAAGATCAGCCCTGAGCTAACATCCGATGCCAATCTTCCTCTTTTTGCCGAGGAATATTGGCCCTGGGCTAACATCCGTGCCCATCTTCCTCTACTTTATATGGGACGCCGCCACAGCATGGTTTGACAAGTGGCATGTTGGTGCACGCCAGGGATCCGAACCTGCGAACCCTCAGGCCGCCACAGGGGAGCGTGTGCACCTAACCGCAGCACCACCGGGCTGGCCCCTGAAATCTAAAATGTAAAAATAATTTCTGGGTTATAAGGAACCAAAGTCTCATTCTGAGAAAACATTATTTGAAGTGAGAAAAACTTCAGTAAAACATATTATTGTTTACAAATGAGAAATGTGAAAACAGTCCTTTGAGACTTAAGGATTATTGGTAGAGGAAAATTTTTATTAGAGCACGTAAGATTTCAACACATGACACCTAAAATCCCTGTAGATGCTTCCATGTTAAAAAAAAAACAACACCTTTATAAAGGTGACAATGAAAACTTTCAATATCAAAAATAAGATACTGTACAATTTTTTTTAACCTGTCAAAAAAGATGAAGTGGAGGCCAGGTAATAGTAAGCATTATTACACATATCCTTTGATAATAAGATTTTGATACAGACATGTCTTTTAGAAGCCATATCATTGACCAAAATGGTATTAAATAAAAACCAACTTCAACACTCTTTAGAATGAAACACTACATTATGTTTCTATGGAGATTTTATCATAATATTACATTCTAATGAAAAATGCCTTAATATATTGTAAATAAATTAAATACGTACTTGTTTCTTCGGCCATTCTTTGTCTAAGTGTTTGAGGCTTTGGGGTGAATGGTATTCTCTTTTCATGGTCATCAGGCTCACTCTCAGGATCTTCATCACAGTTTTTCTTTATACCAGAAGTGGTGAAAGTATGTTTTACATCCAAAGAAATATAGTCATCTTGGGCCCTGGCCAATTCACGCTTTCTGCGGGCTGCCTGAATAAAAGCTGCATCAGGGATACTTACTGCAAGAAACAAAGAGGAGGGCACTGAAAACCAAACACCCACAGAAATAGATATTCCTCACATTTAAATAAAGAAAAAAGTCACCATTTTCCTACTTTTGTCACTATTTTGATATCAATGTAACTAAATGGATCAAAATCTATATCAATAATGGAAGCAAATTATTTTAGATTAAATATAAATTAGAGAAATAAACCAAATCTCAAAGCATTAGAAAATATACTGAAACCACTCCAATTTATCTTTTAACTCTCTTATTCATCAGGTATTGTTGCTGACTTTTTGTTGAGGGCTAGCTAGTTCTCATTTCCAGAAGCTCTGAGATTGTCAGGGTAGGAATGTAGAGAGAGCTGAGCATAGAGTGACTCAGTCCGGGAGAACCATACAGGTTAGAACGATGGATGATAGACCAGTCTGACTGACAAAGTAGGAGGGCCATTACACTACGATCCACCCCTTCCCTTTGGGATCCAGGCATACAGGAAGTGATAAACACACTAATAAAACCAGCATACAGCCAAGTTAGCCTCCAAAGTCCTGTGGTGATTTCCACATGAATAAATGTGAGTAGTTAAAAAGTGTAAAGGAAATAATCAGGTTCATTTACCAGGTGAAAAACATTTAAATGACACCATCTAAGAGCCTTGTTTTATTTTACACAGTACAAACCTCATTAATATGGACTCTTTCAATTCAAAAACAAGTTTCTTCATGCATGATCTAAGCTGAAATTTATCTTTACACTCTGGAAAAAAATGCTTTCTTAAGCAAAATACTACGGTAAACAAAATGGCAAGAGAAATTTTCACCATTTCAAGCACTTCAAAATATTAATTAGAGGTGTCAAGCCACCAAGACTCAAGTAAAATTTTCCAAAGTTTCCCAGAAACTGATCCAAATTCTGTGAGAAATAAATAGAAAAGATGTCATATGCCTGAAGATGAGGTAATGTTCCAACTTTTGAAACAGAAAAAAAGAGGTTTCAGAAATTACAGACCAATATGCCTCACACCAGTCCTAAGGAAAACAAAAAGTGCTTGAATTATTATGAAGCAGTAGGGGTGATTACTAGAAAACCAAAACATGCTCATTAAGAATAAGGAATATCAAACCAAATGATTTACTTCTTACAGACTAGTATTTATTTATAGATTAGTATCAGGAAAATAATACAGGTCAGGTGTTCCTTCATCCTCCCAAAGCATTTAATAGTTGCATGTTTTCCTTGTGGATAATGTTAAAATATGTGAGGAAAATCACATAGTGCACTGGATTCTTAACTGGTTAATTACTCCAAAAAATGCTGCTTATGAAGCAATGCAGGGATCTGCAAGAGGGCTCTGTATTTTGCCTTGTCTGGTTTAATGATTTTATTGTGACGTGAATGAGGACAAGACATGTCTTTAAAGCTAGGAGGTATAGCTACAATAACCTAAAGCAGAATTAAGATTCAAAACCATCACAACAGGTTACATGAGCATTTCTCGACCCTGGTTACACATTAGAATCACCTGGGAAGCTTGATTGTCTACTGGTACTCAGGCCCTGACCCCAGAGATTCAGATTCAGTTAGATCTGAGGTGCAGCTGAGCAGCAGTATGTTTTCATAGCCCTCTAGGGGATTTTAATGTACAACTAGGGGTAAGATGATGCACTTGGGTTCAAAATACTCAAGTGTATGAATACAGAAACAGAAATACTTGAATTGGAAGTGATTCACCTGCAAATGACTCTTGTTGTTAGTGCTGTCGAGCTGAGGCGATTCCAACTCCTAGTGACCCCGTGTACAGCAGAGCAGAACCCTGCCCAGTCTTTTTGAACCATCCTCTCACCTTATGGTGCTACATCAGACAACGCTCCACTGCTATTCATAGGGTTTTCATGGCCAATTTTTTCGGAAGTGAGTGACCAGGTCCTTCTTCCTAGTCTGTCTTAGTCTGGAAGCTCTGCTGAAACCTGTCCACCATGGGCGACCCTGCTGGTATTTGAAATACCAGTGGCATAGCTTTCAGCATCATAGCAATATGCACCTGCCACAGTATGACAACCAACAGGCAGGTGGTATGGGTTCCTTGACTGGTAAATGAACCTGGGCTGTGGAAGTGAGAGCACTGAATCTTAACCACTGGCATGCAAATGACCTGGGGGGGTTAATCACAAGCAATGGACTCACTAGTGAGATACTAGTGCTACATAAAGCTAATCCTCTCTCAAGCTACAATAAAGTAAAGGTTCAAGGAAGAGAAGAGTACTGTCCTGTCTATACCTAACATCTAGCCCAAGGGTTCCCACATAGCAGATGCTGGGCAGACATGGGATGAATTAATAAAGTTAGCATATTGCTTTATAATAATAAAAACATCATGTTTTTACAGATTTATAACTCATAAATAATTTTCACATACATCAACCTATCTAAGGAGTAGAGGGTAAATGGTAACAAGCAGTACCTGCAACAGTGAACACCTCAAGGCAGATATTCCATTACTGGATCATTCTAATAGTTCTATCATCTGAACAAAAATAAATGCACTCCCTCATCCACATACCAGTCCTTAAACTTATCAATCCTTCTTCATCTTTTCTTCTCCAGAAAACAGAAAAAAAAGGATTCCTCATAGGACAAGTTTTCAACTTTGAATCAGTGTTTCTCAAAGGAGCATTCGAGGAGGGACCATTCTTCAATGTGCTGAACTGTCCTGTACTCTGGGAGACATTTATCTTCTCTTGCCTCCAGGGCACTACATGCCAGCAACACCTCAGTCACCATGATAATTAAAAACTATCCCACATATTTTCAAACACTGTCTTCTCTCCTAAGGTGCACAGAGCTGTCCCCACTCTACAACTATTGCCTTATACTGCTTAATCCACCGTCTTCTATAGCAGCACTGTTCAATACAGTAACCATTAGTCATATGTGACTATTTTAACTTAGCCAAACTAAAAATCCAGTTCCTTAGTTGCACTAGCCAAGAGCTCTATAGCCACATGTGGCTAGTGGCTAATGTACTGGACAGTGAAGATATAAAACTTTTACATCATCACAGAAAGTTCTACTGGACAGTGCTGTATTTAGAGTCTAGACAAGGTTTCACTTGTCTGCCCGGCTTCAATTCTTAACATTGGCTTCATCACTAAGTACTTCTGTACCTGTGAACATATTATATAAGAAAACTACAAGAGTTACTGGTTCTTGTTATTTAATAAGTTAAGAAAGCACTTATTACTATATTACAGGTCTTTTAAAATATATTTTAACAATTATATTTCAAACTAAATTGTTTCCTTTATAAAGCTATGTATTTTACTTTATTTTCTCAGAAGGGGTCTTAGACTTCAGGAGACTGAAAAGAGTCCACAACACAAAACAAGTTACAAACCTTGAGCTACAGTAAAAGGCCAGATGATTATTTTTGGCTTTGCAGGCCATAAAGTCTCTGTTGCAACTTCTCTACTCTGCCACTGCAGTGCAAAAGCAGCCAGACAATACAAAATTGAATGACTGTGGCTGTGTTTTAATTAAACTTTATTTACAAAAGAAGATCGTGGGCCAGATTTGGCTCACAGGTGTTAATTTGCCAACCTCTGAACTGGGCTGATCTACAACATCAAGATAGTTAGGTCATCTTTTTGCGTAAAATTTTCAGTAGTTCCTCCAAGCCCTGTACTATCTGACTTCAATTTGTCTCTCTGCTTTCTTTCCTTTGTTCCTCTTTCTTAAACTCCAACCAAATATTTTCAATCCAACAACTGTTTTTAGTTCTCTGCACATGCTACATTATCTTTCCTGGAGTTTTATATATGCTACATCCTGTACGTGAAACACCTTCACTGACAAATTCTTACCATCCTTCAGATTGGCATGAATCACCCAGTGTAGCACCGTGGTTAAGAACACAGGCTCATGGGGCCGGCCCCGTGGCTTAGCGGTTAAGTGCGCACGCTTCGCTACTGGCGGCCTGGGTTCAGATCCCGGGCGCGCAGCGATGCACTGCTTCTCCAGCCATGCTGAGGCAGCGTCCCACATACAGCAACTAGAAGGATGTGCAACTATGACATACAACTATCTACTGGGGCTTTGGGGGAAAAAATAAAGAAAGAAAGAAA